TGCTCAGTGGGGAGCCTGCTTCTCCCTCTGCTGCTCCCCCTGCTCTCCCTCTCTCTCTCTCAAATAAATAAATAAATAAAAACTTTAAAAAATATGTTTAAAGTAACTAAGAAAAATAATGGAAAAGGGAACTAAGGGTAAGAAAATAATGTGGAATCAGAAGTAAAACACAGAATATATTATGGTAACTTTGGGTTGGAGTTTGGCTCTGTTGTTTAAGAGCTAAGTGACTGGGGGAAAGTTCTTAAGTTCTTCCCCCAGCCCTGCTCATGCTCACACTCTGTCTTGCACACTCGCTCTCTCTCTCAAATAAATAAAAAAGATCTTTAAAAAAATTCTTCTTGTGAAATCTTTAACTAAGGCAGATAAAGGGAAATCTCTTTGGTTCCCAGCTGAATCCCGTTCCTTTCCCTAGAGCCCTCAGTTGGGTGTTTTTTCCTTCAAGATTTTTTCACTTTGATACATTCATGTACAGGGTGAATGGCTCTAGGACTTGTTTTTATAGGACTATGAGCATCCTATATGCCTCTTAAAATTATGTTTCATAGGGCGGATTTCCTAAAAGAGATGCTTGGTCCAAGGTTGGAGCAGCATTTTTTTTCTTTTTTCCCACCTGTCATCACTACTCACAGTCTTTTGTTCATCTCTGTCAGGTTGACAAGTAGCAAACAGTACTCAGTGGTACTTTAATATTAATTGTAATTCTGTAAATATATATAAGTACAGTTTTTCTTAACCCTTTTAAAACATTGATTCTATCTTGAAAGTTCTCTTTGTTCACACTTTCCCTACAAACCATGCCCCCCTTCCACTACCCTTCAGGAGAGATCACATTTAAGAGTTTGTATGCATTATTTTAGGTTTTTTCCTAAGCATATACACATACAGTTAAGAGTACACACATCCAGAATATATACTGCTCTGTTTGTGTGTGTCTGTGTGTGCCTTCTTTAAATAATTGATATAATCGACAAATTGGCTTTGGAAATGAACACTATTTCTTAGAGAACAATCACTGTTAATATATTGACTCCTACCCACTGGATGACATTGGCAACTCCCTCCTCCCATGCGGCTGTGACAGCTAGCCAAAACTGTCTCCATACACTGCCAAATGTCCCCTCCCTGGATTGGAACCAATATTATAAATGTACCTCATCCCTTTTCCCTACTGCATTACACTCCAAATCATTTAGCATTCTTTTCCATTGCAATGTTGCAATGAGCATCCTTGTACAAGAGAACAATTCTCTTGAGAGGTAATATGGCACAAGGGAAAGAACGCAGCTTCTGGAGCCAGACTACTTGGGTTCACATCCTCGATTATAAATTTGTAAAAAGGAGATACTAATAGAAATTAATGAGAACCAAAAACATTCAAGCATGCAAAGCACTTAGAACAGTGGAAGCAAGTTACCGGTAAATGATACCTACTATTACATGCCTTCATATGCACGAGTGCAAATGTTTCTAAAGGTTGGAGACTGAGCAAAAAACATGGCTAGGTTGTATAAGAGATCCATGTTTTTGATCTGAAGAGATGTTGCCAAATCTCCTCCCAAAGAA